AGACAGGACAGTAGTGAGAGCACACAGACAGGACAGTAGTGAGAGCACACAGACAGTAGTGAGAGCACACAGACAGTAGTGAGAGCACACAGACAGGACAGTAGTGAGAGCACACAGACAGGACAGTAGTGAGAGCACACAGACATGACAGTAGTGAGAGCAAACAGACAGTACAGTAGTGAGAGCACACAGACAGGACAGTAGTGAGAGCACACAGCACACAGACAGGACAGTAGTGAGAGCACACAGACAGGACAGTAGTGAGAGCACACAGACAGGACAGTAGTGAGAGCAAACAGACAGGACAGTAGTGAGAGCACACAGACAGGACAGTAGTGAGAGCACACAGACAAGACAGTAGTGAGAGCACACAGACAGTAGTGAGAGCACACAGACAGCACAGTAGTGAGAGCACACAGACAGGACAGTAGTGAGAGCACACAGACAGGACAGTAGTGAGAGCACACAGACAGGACAGTAGTGAGAGCACACAGACAGGACAGTAGTGAGAGCACACAGACAGGACAGTAGTGAGAGCACACAGACAGTAGTGAGAGCACACAGACATGACAGTAGTGAGAGCACACAGACAGGACAGTACTGAGAGCACACAGACAGGACAGTAGTGAGAGCACACAGACAGGACAGTAGTGAGAGCACACAGACAGGACAGTAGTGAGAGCACACAGACAGGACAGTAGTGAGAGCACACAGACAGGACAGTAGTGAGAGCACACAGACAGGACAGTAGTGAGAGCACACAGACAGTAGTGAGAGCGCACAGACAGTAGTAAGAGCACACAGACGGGACAGTAGTGAGAGCACACAGACAGTAGTGAGAGCACACAGACAGGACAGTAGTGAGAGCACACAGACAGTAGTGAGAGCACACAGACAGGACAGTAGTGAGAGCACACAGACAGTAGTGAGAGCACACAGACAGGACAGTAGTGAGAGCACACAGACAGGACAGTAGTGAGAGCACACAGACAGGACAGTAGTGAGAGCACACAGACAGGACAGTAGTGAGAGCACACAGACAGTAGTGAGAGCACACAGACAGGACAGTAGTGAGAGCACACAGACAGTAGTGAGAGCGCACAGACAGTAGTGAGAGCACACAGACAGGACAGTAGTGAGAGCACACAGACAGTAGTGAGAGCACACAGACAGGACAGTAGTGAGAGCACACAGACAGTAGTGAGAGCACACAGACAGGACAGTAGTGAGAGCACACAGACAGTAGTGAGAGCACACAGACAGGACAGTAGTGAGAGCACACAGACAGTAGTGAGAGCACACAGACAGGACAGTAGTGAGAGCACACAGACAGTAGTGAGAGCACACAGACAGGACAGTAGTGAGAGCACACAGACAGGACAGTAGTGAGAGCACACAGACAGTAGTGAGAGCACACAGACAGTAGTGAGAGCACACAGACAGTAGTGAGAGCACACAGACAGTAGTGAGAGCACACAGACAGGACAGTAGTGAGAGCACACAGACAGGACAGTAGTGAGAGCACACAGACAGGACAGTAGTGAGAGCATACAGACAGGACAGTAGTGAGAGCACACATACAGGACAGTAGTGAGAGCACACAGACAGTAGTGAGAGCACACAGACAGGACAGTAGTGAGAGCACACAGACAGGACAGTAGTGAGAGCACACACAGGACAGTAGTGAGAGCACACAGACAGGACAGTAGTGAGAGCACACAGACAGTAGTGAGAGCACACAGACAGGACAGTAGTGAGAGCACACAGACAGGACAGTAGTGAGAGCACACAGACAGGACAGTAGTGAGAGCACACAGACAGGACAGTAGTGAGAGCACACAGACAGGACAGTAGTGAGAGCACACAGACATGACAGTAGTGAGAGCGCACAGACAGGACAGTAGTGAGAGCACACAGACAGTAGTGAGAGCACACAGACAGGACAGTAGTGCGAGCACACAGACAGGACAGTAGTGAGAGCACACAGACAGGACAGCAGTGAGAGCACACAGACAGTAGTGAGAGCACACAGACAGTAGTGAGAGCACACAGACAGGACAGTAGTGAGAGCACACAGACAGGACAGTAGTGAGAGCACACAGACAGGACAGTAGTGAGAGCACACACAGGACAGTAGTGAGAGCACACAGACAGTAGTGAGAGCACACAGACAGGACAGTAGTGAGAGCACACACAGGACAGTAGTGAGAGCACACACAGGACAGTAGTGAGAGCACACAGACAGGACAGTAGTGAGAGCACACAGACAGTAGTGAGAGCACACAGACAGGACAGTAGTGAGAGCACACACACAGGACAGTAGTGAGAGCACACACAGGACAGTAGTGAGAGCACACAGACAGTAGTGAGAGCAGACAGACAGGACAGTAGTGAGAGCACACAGACAGGACAGTAGTGAGAGCACACAGACAGGACAGTAGTGAGAGCACACAGACAGGACAGTAGTGAGAGCACACACAGGACAGTAGTGAGAGCACACAGACAGGACAGTAGTGAGAGCACACAGACAGTAGTGAGAGCACACAGACAGGACAGTAGTGAGAGCACACAGACAGGACAGTAGTGAGAGCACACAGACAGGACAGTAGTGAGAGCACACAGACAGGGCAGTAGTGAGAGCACACAGACAGGACAGTAGTGAGAGCACACAGACAGGACAGTAGTGAGAGCACACAGACAGGACAGTAGTGAGAGCACACAGACAGGACAGTAGTGAGAGCACACAGACAGGACAGTAGTGAGAGCACACAGATAGGACAGTAGTGAGAGCACACAGACAGGACAGTAGTGAGAGCACACAGACAGTAGTGAGATCACACAGACAGGACAGTAGTGAGAGCACACAGACAGTAGTGAGAGCACACAGACAGGACAGCAGTGAGAGCACACAGACAGTAGTGAGAGCACACAGACAGTAGTGAGAGCACACAGACAGGACAGTAGTGAGAGCACACAGACAGGACAGTAGTGAGAGCACACACAGGACAGTAGTGAGAGCACACAGACAGGACAGTAGTGAGAGCACACAGACAGGACAGTAGTGAGAGCACAAAGACAGGACAGTAGTGAGAGCACACAGACAGTAGTGAGAGCACACAGACAGGACAGTAGTGAGAGCACACAGACAGTAGTGAGAGCACACAGACAGGACAGCAGTGAGAGCACACAGACAGTAGTGAGAGCACACAGACAGGACAGTAGTGAGGGCACACAGACAGTAGTGAGAGCACACAGACAGGACAGTAGTGAGAGCACACAGACAGGACAGTAGTGAGAGCACACAGACAGGACAGTAGTGAGAGCACACACAGGACAGTAGTGAGAGCACACAGACAGGACAGTAGTGAGAGCACACAGACGGTAGTGAGAGCACACAGACAGGACAGTAGTGAGAGCACACAGACAGGACAGTAGTGAGAGCACACAGACAGGACAGTAGTGAGAGCGCACAGACAGGACAGTAGTGAGAGCACACAGACAGGACAGTAGTGAGAGCACACAGACAGGACAGTAGTGAGAGCACACAGACAGGACAGTAGTGAGAGCAACAGACAGGACAGTAGTGAGAGCACACAGACAGGACAGTAGTGAGAGCACACAGACAGGACAGTAGTGAGAGCACACAGACAGGACAGTAGTGAGAGCAAACAGACAGGACAGTAGTGAGAGCACACAGACAGGGCAGTAGTGAGAGCACACAGACAGGACAGTAGTGAGAGCACACAGACAGTAGTGAGAGCACACAGACCGGACAGTAGTGAGAGCACACAGACAGGACAGTAGTGAGAGCACACAGACAGGACAGTAGTGAGAGCACACAGACAGGACAGTAGTGAGAGCACACAGACAGGACAGTAGTGAGAGCACACAGACAGGACAGTAGTGAGAGCACACAGACAGGACAGTAGTGAGAGCACACAGACATGACAGTAGTGAGAGCACACAGACAGGACAGTACTGAGAGCACACAGACAGGACAGTAGTGAGAGCACACAGACAGGACAGTAGTGAGAGCACACAGACAGGACAGTAGTGAGAGCACACAGACAGGACAGTAGTGAGAGCACACAGACAGGACAGTAGTGAGAGCACACAGACAGTAGTGAGAGCGCACAGACAGTAGTGAGAGCACACAGACGGGACAGTAGTGAGAGCACACAGACAGTAGTGAGAGCACACAGACAGTAGTGAGAGCACACAGACAGGACAGTAGTAGTGAGAGCACACAGACAGTAGTGAGAGCACACAGACAGGACAGTAGTGAGAGCACACAGACAGTAGTGAGAGCACACAGACAGGACAGTAGTGAGAGCACACAGACAGTAGTGAGAGCACACAGACAGGACAGTAGTGAGAGCACACAGACAGGACAGTAGTGAGAGCACACAGACAGTAGTGAGAGCACACAGACAGTAGTGAGAGCACAACAGACAGTAGTGAGAGCACACAGACAGGACAGTAGTGAGAGCACACAGACAGGACAGTAGTGAGAGCACACAGACAGGACAGTAGTGAGAGCATACAGACAGGACAGTAGTGAGAGCACACAGACAGGACAGTAGTGAGAGCACACAGACAGGACAGTAGTGAGAGCACACAGACAGGACAGTAGTGAGAGCACACAGACAGGACAGTAGTGAGAGCACACAGACAGGACAGTAGTGAGAGCACACACAGGACAGTAGTGAGAGCACACAGACAGGACAGTAGTGAGAGCACACAGACAGGACAGTAGTGAGAGCACACAGACAGGACAGTAGTGAGAGCACAGACAGGACAGTAGTGAGAGCACACACAGGACAGTAGTGAGAGCACACAGACAGGACAGTAGTGAGAGCACACACAGGACAGTAGTGAGAGCACCGGGGTCCCTCAACTAACTGTCCTGTCCGGTGGGCACTCACTACGGTCCTGTAATGTGGTGCCGCACTAATTAAACCCGGGTGGCCCTGTTCTGTGTCGCCTCACGAATGTCCTAGGGCTGTGGGTGGCTCTCACTACGGTCATGTGCTGGGTGCTCTCAATACTTCCTTCTGGTGTGCTCTCACGACTGTCTGGGTGCTCGCACGACGGTCCTGTGTTGCGCTCCACTACTGCCCCTGTCTGTGTGGGACTCTCACTACGGTCCGTCTGGTGCGCATCACTAACCAAGCACTACGTCCTGTCTGGTGGGCGCCGTCTCTACTGTCCCCGGTCTGCTCCGAGCTCTCACTACTGTCGTGGGCTGCTCACCTACTGGGCGGTGGTGGGGGGCTCCTCACATACTTGTCCTGGGGGGGCTCTCACTGAACTGTCCGGGTCTGTGTGGCTTCTCACTACTGTCCCCCTTTCTGTGGCTCTCACTACTGTCTGGTGTGCTCTCACGACGAAGGTCCTGGTCACGGTGGTCTCTCACTTCGTCCGTGTGTGCTCGCACTTACTGCCGTGTGTGCTCTCACTACGTCCCTGTGGGGGGGCTCTCACTACTGACCCGGTCTGGGTGCTCTCACTACGTCCCTTCCGGGGTGCGCTCACCACTGGCCTGGCCGGTTGGTGCTCTCACGACTGGCCGGTTGCTCCGCACGACGGTCCGGGCCTGGTGTGCTCTCACTTACTGTCCCCTGTGCCTGGTTTGCGCTCACTACGTCGGGTGCGCCGCACGACTGTCCTTCGGGTGCTCTCACTACTGTCTGGGCCTGTTTGCGCTCACTACTGTCCCTGTCTGTGGTACTCTCACTACGGTCCTGTCTGGTGGCTCGCACGACGGTGCCCTTGGCCTGGTGTGTGCGCTCACTGACGGGCCTCGTCGGACTATCTACGCTCGGACTATCTGCGCTCGGACTATCTGCGCTCGGACTACTATCTGCGCTCGGACTATCTGCGCTCGGACTATCTGCGCTCGGACTATCTGCGCTCGGACTATCTGCGCTCGGACTATCTGCGCTCGGACTATCTGCGCTCGGACTATCTACGCTCGGACTATCTACGCTCGGACTATCTGCGCTCGGACTATCTGCGCTCGGACTATCTGCGCTCGGACTATCTGCGCTCGGACTATCTGCGCTCGGACTATCTGCGCTCGGACTATCTGCGCTCGGACTATCTACGCTCGGGACCTATCTGCGCTCGGACTATCTGCGCTCGGACTATCTGCGCTCGGATATCTGCGCTCGGACTATCTGCGCTTGGACTAACTAGCGCTCGGACTATCTACGCTCGGACTATCTACGCTCGGACTATCTGCGCTCGGACCATCTACGCTCGGACTATCTGCGCTCGGACCATCTGCGGACTATCTGCGCTCGGACCATCTGCACTCGGACCATCTGCGGACTATCTGCGCTTGGACTATCTGCGCTTGGACTATCTGATCGCTCGACTCTCGGACTATCTGCGCTCGGACTATCTGCGCTCGGACTATCTGCGCTCGGACTATCTGCGCTCGGACTATCTGCGCTCGGACTATCTGCGCTCGGCTATCTGCGCTCGGACTATCTGCGCGCTCGGACTATCTGCGCTCGGACTATCTGCGCTCGGACTATCTGCGCTCGGACTATCTGCGCTCGGACTATCTGCGCTCGGACTATCTGCGCTCGGACTATCTGCGCTCGGAGTACTTTCTGCGCTCTGACTATCTAGCGCTCGGACTATCTTGCGCTCGGACTATCTGCGCCGACTATCTGCGCTCGACTATCTGCGTTCAGACTATCTGCGCTCGGACTATCTGCGCTCGGACCATCTGCGGACTATCTGCGCTCGTACTATCTACGCTCGGACTATCTACCGCTCGGACCATCTGCGCTCGGACTATCTGCGCTCGGACTATCTGCGCTCGGACTACTATCTGCGCTCGGACTATCTACGCTCGGACTATCTGCGCTCGGACTATCTGCGCTCGGACTATCTGCGCTCGGACTACTATCTGCGCTAGGACTATCTACGCTCGGACTATCTGCGCTCGGACTATCTGCGCTCGGACTATCTACGCTCGGACTATCTACGCTCGGACTATCTAACGTTCGGACTATCTGCGCTCGGACTATCTGCGCTCGGACTATCTGCGCTCGGCGCTCGGACTATCTACGCTCGGACTACTATCTGCGCTCGGACTATCTACGCTAGGACTATCTACGCTCGGACTATCTGCGCTCGGACTATCTGCGCTCGGACTATCTACGCTCGGACTATCTGCGCTCGGACTAACTAGCGCCGGACTATCTACGCTCGGACTATCTACGCTCGGACTATCTGCGCTCAGACCATCTACGCTCGGACTATCTGCGCTCGGACCATCTGCGGACTATCTGCGCTCGGACCATCTGCACTCGGACCATCTGCGGACTATCTGCGCTTGGACTATCTGCGCTCGGACTATCTGCGGACTATCTGCGCTCGGACTATCTGCGCTCGGACTATCTGCGCTCGGACTATCTGCGCTCGGACTATCTGCGCTCGGACTATCTGCGCTCGGACTATCTGCGCTCGGACTATCTGCGCTCGGACTATCTGCGCTCGGACTATCTGCGCTCGGACTATCTGCGCTCGGACTATCTGCGCTCGGACTATCTGCGCTCGGACTATCTGCGCTCGGATATCTGCGCTCGGACTATCTGCGCTCGGACTATCTGCGCTCGGACTATCTGCGCTCGGACTATCTGCGCTCGGACCATCTGCGCTCGGACCATCTGCGCTCGGACATCTCGCTCGGACCATCTGCGCTCGGACATCTGCGCTCGGACCATCTGCGCTCGGACTATCTGCGCTCGGACTACTATCTGCGCTCGGACTACTATCTGCGCTCGGACTATCTACGCTCGGACTATCTACGCTCGGACTATCTACGCTCGGACTATCTGCGCTCGGACTATCTGCGCTCGGACTATCTACGCTCGACTATCTACGCTCGGACTATCTGCGCTCGGACTATCTGCGGACTATCTGCGCTCGGACTATCTACGCTCGGACTATCTACGCTCGGACTATCTGCGCTCGGACTATCTACGCTCGGACTATCTACGCTCGGACTATCTGCGCTCGGACTATCTGCGCTCGGACTATCTGCGCTCGGACTATCTGCGCTCGGACTATCTGCGCTCGGACTATCTGCGCTCGGACTATCTGCGCTCGGACTATCTGCGCTCGGACTATCTAGCGCTCGGACATCTGCGCTCGGACATCTGCGCTCGGACTATCTGCGCTCGGACTATCTGCGCTCGGACATCTGCGCTCGGACCATCTGCGCTCGGACTACTATCTGCGCTCGGACTATCTACGCTCGGACCATCTGCGCTCGGACCATCTGCGCTCGGACCATCTGCGCTCGGACCATCTGCGCTCGGACCATCTGCGCTCGGACCATCTGCGCTCGGACTATCTGCGCTCGGACTACTATCTGCGCTCGGACTATCTACGCCAGGACTATCTACGCTCGGACTATCTACGCTCGGACTATCTGCGCTCGGACTATCTGCGCTCGGACTATCTACGCTCGAACTATCTACGCTCGGACTATCTAGCGCTCGGACTATCTGCGGACTATCTGCGCTCGGACTATCTACGCTCGGACTATCTGCGCTCGGACTATCTACGCTCGAACTATCTACGCTCGGACTATCTAGCGCTCGGACTATCTGCGGACTATCTGCGCTCGGACTATCTACGCTCGGACTATCTACGCTCGGACTATCTGCGCTCGGACTATCTACGCTCGGACTATCTACGCTCGGACTATCTGCGCTCGGACTATCTACGCTCGAACTATCTACGCTCGGACTATCTAGCGCTCGGACTATCTACGCTCGGACCATCTGCGTTTGGACTATCTGCACTCGGACTATCTGCGCTCGGACTATCTGCGTTCGGACTATCTTTGGACGCGAAACTAGTAGTAATCTTTCAGTTATATATTGTGTTAGCAGTGCGTTGCTTTGGTGCCATTTCATCAGTGATTGTTGTCCAGCTTATGTAAGGGATAATGTATAGCATACAGGTCATTATCGGATGATAAGTACCGACAGGGCAAAGGGTCTGCTTCCGCCCTGAAGGTACTTATTTTCCGATAATGACCTGTAGGCTATACATTATCCCTTTTATTATACTGCTTTGTACCAACTTAACACACAAAATAAACTTCAGATCACTTTTATGAATGCCAAAAGTTTATTTAATGACAACAAATAAAGTAGTCCCAAAAAGTTTTCCCGTTGCTCGGCAACCGCGGGCAGGCAGTGTGGCTTTGACAATTGTGGCTATGCTAGCAACAGTTAGGCTGGCAACTTCCAAACTAGAACTCTCTGGAACTGCATGAAAACTGAACAAAGAATTCTGAACATCAGCGGTGAGTGACCCAAACATAAACCTAACCTAAATCCATAATTCGATCCTCTGCAAATGTGTCCGAAAATGTGCCGGTATCTTAAAATGTGCCGGTATCTACTTCCGGGTTTTTCGGAATCGCCTTTTCTCGCATTACATCAGTGTTTTTGTCATGAAAACTTAAACGGAAAATTCTGAAAACTTCCGTGCACTTGTATTAAGACTGGATATGTATAAATTACTCTCCGATTAACATTTCATTGCGTTGATTGATTGGCATTTGCGTTTATTGAGCGGCCAGAACTACTTCCGGGTTTTTCACGATCGCTTTTTGACGCAGAGAAATAGTATTTTTGTCATGAAGACAAGACCAGAAAATTCTGAAAATTTCCGTGCACGTATGTGAAGAATGTATATGTATAAGTATTCTCCGATTAACATTTAAGTGTGTTGATTGAGCGTGGCTAGCTCAGGAGTGGCCGGAACTACTTGCGGAGTTATCCACGCATTTGAAATACAAGCAGAGAGTGCGTTGCCAAAGGGCAGTGGTCATTATTGTTTTGAGAGGTCCGTTATAGAAAATAATGACCGGTAGAACGTTTTGAAATTACATTCAAATCAATGGAGCGTTCTACTGCTGCTCTGAGGAGCCGTATAATAAAAGTAGTTATGCTAATGCTAACGTCTGTAATCAGGCTGCTACTAAAACTTGGCTCCGTGGGAGGAGAGCGTTGGAGAGAAGCCTGTGAGCGTCACTTCTGAGTGTTATTATGGTCGTTTGGCACATGCGTTAAATGTGTTGATTTTTTTAACGCGATTAATGAAAAAAATAACGTGCATTAACGCGATAACTTTGACAGCCCTACTAATAACTTAAATCTACTGGACCTGGAGGAGTAGCGACCGTGACGGGCTCAGAGGGCAGAGAGGGACTCCCAGCTCCAGCTTCATTCACGGCTGTCACTCTGAAGCGACACGTCTGACCTGTCTCCAGACCTGACACCTGCAACCACAAAACCAACACAAACTACACAACAGCTACAGCCAAGACTTCCTTAATCCCATCACCCACTATTGAAGCAGAGGTTTAAAGCTGGGGGAGAATTGCTCTGTGGTACGAGGAGTGGACTGACCGAGAGCTGACGTGGCTTTAGTGTTGCCGATTTTAAGATTAAGAGATTCGGAGATCCTTTATTCGTCACACAGCAAGGAAATTTCAGAGTTGCATCACAAGTAAGCTAGTAAGTAAGCTGAATATGAGCTAGTTGGAGCCAATTTCCTTATCTGGGCATTTGTTCATAGAGGCAGATGTGTTGCTAAGGTGGTTGCTAAGGCACTTCATATAAGCAATGGTCAATCCTTTCATGGCTTAGAGACAATTTTCCCTTCAAGGACAATAAAAGTTGAATCTTGTGGCTTGAAATTTGGATTCACAAAGAAAATATCCAAATATAAACATTAGGAGCAGATATTTTACTGAGCTAGAGGAGTTTATTTCTCAATATAAGTCAACAGGAGCCAGAGCGAGTTGTGTCTATTGGGCTTCATTGAGCTAGCATGTTAGCATTGTCCATAAATATACAGTCTAAGTATCGACAAACATAATAAACAAATTCTATGTGTGTGTGTGTGTGTGTGTGTGTGTGTGTGTGTGTGTGTGTGTGTGTGTGTGTGTGCGTGGGTGTGTGTATGTGCGTGGGTGTGGGTGTGTGTGTGTGTGTGATTGATGTGTGTGGGTGTGTGAGTGTGTGTGTCTCTGTGTGTGTGTGTGTCTGTGTGTGTGTGTAGGTGTGTGTCTGTGTGTGTGTGTGTCTGTGTGTGTGTGTGTGTGTCTCTGTGTGTGTGAGCTTGTGTGCCTGAGTGCATGTGTGTTTGTGTGTGTGTCTGTATGAGAGTGTCTGTGTGTGTGTGTATGAGTGTGTGTCTAAGTGCATGTGTGTTTGTTTGTGTGTGTATCTGTATGAGTGTCTGTGTGTGTGTGTGTCTAAGTGCATGTGTGATGGGGGTCTGTGTGTATGTGTGTATGAGTGTGTGTCTGTGTGAGCATGTGTGTGATGGGGGTATGTGTGTATGAGTGTGTGTCTGTGTGTGATGGGGGTCTGTGTGTGTGTGTGTGTATGAGTGTGTGTCTGTGTGAGCATGTGTGTGATGGGGGTATGTGTGTGTGTGTGTGTGTGTATGAGTGTGTGTCTGTGTGAGCATGTGTGTGATGGGGGTATGTGTGTATGAGTGTGTGTCTGTGTGAGCATGTGTGTGATGGGGGTCTGTGTGTATGTGTGTATGAGTGTGTGTCTGTGTGAGCATGTGTGTGATGGGGGTCTGTGTGTGTGTGTGTGTGTGTGTATGAGTGTGTGTCTGTGTGAGCATGTGTGTGATGGGGGTCTGTGTGTATAAGTGTGTGTCTGTGTGTGATGGGGGTCTGTGTGTGTGTGTGTGTATGAGTGTGTGTCTGTGTGAGCATGTGTGTGATGGGGGTATGTGTGTGTGTGTGTGTGTATGAGTGTGTGTCTGTGTGAGCATGTGTGTGATGGGGGTATGTGTGTATGAGTGTGTGTCTGTGTGAGCATGTGTGTGATGGGGGTCTGTGTGTGTGTGTGTGTATGAGTGTGTGTCTGTGTGAGCATGTGTGTGATGGGGTCTGTGTGTGTGTGTGTGTGTATGAGTGTGTGTCTGTGTGAGCATGTGTGTGATGGGGGTCTGTTGTGTGTGTGCATGTGTATGAGTGTGTGTCTGTGTGAGCATGTGTGTGATGGGGGTCGTGTGTGTGTGTGTGTGTGTGTATGGTGTGTGTGATGTGTGTGTCTGTGTGAGCATGTGTGTGTGTGAATGTGTGTGATGGGGGTCTGTGTGTGTGTGTGTGTGTGTATGAGTGTGTGTCTCTGTGAGCATGTGTGTGATGGGGGTCTGTGTGTATGTGTGTATGAGTGTGTGTCTGTGTGAGCATGTGTGTGATGGGGGTCTGTGTGTGTGTGTGTGTGTGTGTATGAGTGTGTGTCTGTGTGAGCATGTGTGTGATGGGGGTCTGTGTGTATGTGTGTATGAGTGTGTGTCTGTGTGAGCATGTGTGTGATGGGGGTCTGTATGTGTGTGTGTGTGTGTGTATGAGTGTGTGTCTGTGTGAGCATGTGTGTGATGGGGGTCTGTGTGTGTGTGTGTGTGTGTGTATGAGTGTGTGTCTGTGTGAGCATGTGTGTGATGGGGGTCTGCAGGTTCTTAGGGAATCCTGGAGAAATGTAGTGTTCACTTTGATAATCAAACCAACTCAATTCAAAAGTTTAATACATCTTAATCAAAAATTGCGATTTTTGCTTGAATTTTTCAGGAGGTTTTAGAGCCGGTTGTAAAAGAGCATAAAAGAAACAGCTTTAGTCGACATTTCGATCGCCAAGGCTCCTACCACCTCTGCTGCTGTGACTGCATTTTAATACTATTGTTGCTACTATTCGATTTATCCATCTATCAATAAAGTATGAATCTATATCCATCAATGCTTTTAGCCGAGGATTCAGTATGAACAGAACATACCCAATGAACAAGGCAGGTAACACAACAGTGAGATGTTTGATCCTCTCCACAGCTTCTCTGACCTCCTTGGCCTTCATGATGTTGTTTAGTGACTAACAGAACCATAGACTGTATATATTAACGGCCGTAGTCACACCTATCTCTGCCGTTCTAACTAATGGGCCAAAAATTGCATCTGTGCATGCGTCAGCTGCACGAGCCCCATTCATTTAACAAGTGGCTTCTAAAGTCCACAGCGACTAAACTAGACTGGTCCAGAACACTCAGCATTGACACACATGTGGAACGGAGCTTTGGGCCAAGAGCCAACTTCTGGACCATCCTGTAAAGACGTTTTCCAGAGGTAAGAAGATGCTATATGTTAGCATTGGCTAATTCTTATTCCGGGTCCACCCCCACAGGCCCGGGTGGTATTGCAGCATGTCAGCGCACGTCATTTTGGACACTTTTCGCCCCCACTGGACAGGACATGTGTAATCATACTGAGAGAAGATTCCACACAGGAGGCCTTGAATCATTAGGGCTCAGTGATGTGAGAGAGAGTCATTTGAGGAGAAAACCCATTGGAAAACCCCAGGAGTGAACTGTAGTTGTACCTTGTAGTGTGTCCCACAGACGGGCTGCTCGGTCACAGCGGTCCACTGGTCCGACTGAAGGCCCAGGCTGAGCTCCAGGAAGTATCCAGTGACCGGGCTGTGTCCTTCATACAGAGGTGGAGCCCACACCGCCACCAGGGACGTGTCTCGGACCTCCCTGATCTGTAAGTCATAGGGACAGCCTGGAAGGGAAACGTGGGGAATAAATATAGTTGTTTTGCCCAGAAATAAATCATGAATAGAATAAAATATGTAGCAGAATGTGAGAATCTGAAGAGACGTAGGTCCAGGTCTGTGTTTGTTACAAGTCTCTCCACGGCCTCAAACCAAACTACATCTGTGTCATGTTAGAGCCATATGAAGCAACTCTGAGGAGCACAGGGACCGGCCTCCTGCTGGGACTCTGAGGAGCACAGGGACCGGCCTCCTGCTGGGACTCTGAGGAGCACAGGGACCGGCCTCCTGCTGGGACTCTGAGGAGCACAGGGACCGGCCTCCTGCTGGGACTCTGAGGAGCACAGGGACCGGTCTCCTGCTGGGACTCTGAGGAGCACAGGGACTGGTCTCCTGCTGGGACTCTGAGGAGCACAGGGACTGGTCTCCTGCTGGGACTCTGAGGAGCACAGGGACCGGCCTCCTGCTGGGACTCTGAGGAGCACAGGGACTGGTCTCCTGCTGGGACTCTGATGAGCACAGGGACTGGTCTCCTGCTGGGACTCTGAGGAGCACAGGGACTGGCCTCCTGCTGGGACTCTGAGGAGCACAGGGACTGGCCTCCTGCTGGGACTCTGAGGAGCACAGGGACTGGCCTCCTGCTGGGACTCTGATGAGCACAGGGACTGGTCTCCTGCTGGGACTATGGGAGCACAGGGACTGGTCTCCTGCTGGGACTATGGGGAGCACAGGGACTGGTCTCCTACTGGGACTCTGAGGAGCACAGGGACTGGTCTCCTGCTGGGACTATGGGGAGCACAGGGACTGGTCTCCTACTGGGACTCTGAGGAGCACAGGGACTGGTCTTCTGCTGGGACTATGGGGAGCACAGGGACTAGTCTCCTGCTGGGACTATGGGGAGCACAGGGACTGGTCTCCTGCTGGGACTCTGAGGAGCACAGGGACTAGTCTCCTGCTGGGACTATGGGGAGCACAGGGACTGGTCTCCTGCTGGGACTCTGAGGAGCACAGGGACTGGCCTCCTGCTGGGACTCTGATGAGCACAGGGACTGGTCTCCTGCTGGGACTATGGGGAGCACAGGGACTGGTCTCCTGCTGGGACTATGGGGAGCACAGGGACTGGTCTCCTACTGGGACTCTGAGGAGCACAGGGACTGGTCTCCTGCTGGGACTATGGGGAGCACAGGGACTGGTCTCCTACTGGGACTCTGAGGAGCACAGGGACTGGTCTTCTGCTGGGACTATGGGGAGCACAGGGACTAGTCTCCTGCTGGGACTATGGGGAGCACAGGGACTGGTCTCCTGCTGGGACTCTGATGAGCACAGGGACTGGTCTCCTGCTGGGACTATGGGGAGCACAGGGACTGGTCTCCTGCTGGGACTATGGGGAGCACAGGGACTGGTCTCCTACTGGGACTCTGAGGAGCACAGGGACTGGTCTCCTGCTGGGACTATGGGGAGCACAGGGACTGGTCTCCTACTGGGACTCTGAGGAGCACAGGGACTGGTCTTCTGCTGGGACTATGGGGAGCACAGGGACTAGTCTCCTGCTGGGACTATGGGGAGCACAGGGACTGGTCTCCTGCTGGGACTCTGAGGAGCACAGGGACTGGCCTCCTGCTGGGACTCTGAGGAGCACAGGGACTGGTCCCAGAGTCAGGATGAAACACAAGGCATTGTCTCAGATTCATGCAGCCTACATCTGGAACAGTCTTCCTGAACATGTGAGACAGGCTTCTTCTCTGACAATGTTTGAATCCAGGTTAAAACTTTTCTGTTTAACTGCTACAACTGAGGGATTGTAACTTCACTTTTTGATTATTTATCAGGTTAACGCCTTGTGTGATTCTGATGTTTCTTGTTTAGTTTCAGCCTTTTTGCCGTGTGTATGGACTGTGCTATACTTATAAACTGCCCTTGCTTTGCCAAACATACAGTAATAAGCATAAAAGCACTGATATGATGCATGACGCTAACATAGGATTTACCAAAGGAACAAGTTAAAACAAGAAAAGAGTGCCTAGGTTTTTAATGGTAAATACGTTTAAAATAATACAAATATTTGAAATGATTCTTCCTGTTTAAACTCACCTGGACCTTGTTCGGTGTAAACTACTTTTGAAACTTTTCTTGATGAGGACATTGGAAGAAAACAGCAGGGCCTCGAAGTCCAGCACCTCTTGGACCGACTTTACTTCATTTGCCTCATGATTCTCAGTCACTTTTCAATTATTAATTGCGAGGAGGGGAACCCGTTTGCCAAGATTAATGACAGTCGCGCAAGCTAACGGCAGCGGCCCCGAAACAGGACGGGGCAGAACTGCATGCTGGGTACTGGACTCGTAATGACCTGCTCAGGCAAGTCCCTCTTCACTCTGGTTTCTGTTGTTCAGCGGATTTCACATTTATTTATTTCAGTCGCTTTAACAATCTTACACGTTGTTACAGGACAGTAAATTAAAACAGAAAGAAAGGCGGAAAAGGAGAAGGCTGAAGCTAATGCGTATTTTGCCGTTTTTACAACTGATAGAGAGAAAGAATCCCAGGTGTGCGGGATTCTTTCTCTCTATCACATTAAGCTCTTCTCCGACGCACCCGACCTGTAGGTATTGAAGATCTCTGCTCCAGTCATTTAGCCGTTTTTACAAGTGTCATTAGTATAAGTGAACGCAAACAATAGCATTTAAATAAGCAACTATATCTACATAAGAGTTTATAGCCTCCAGAATGATTAAACAGACGTCAAGTTTATCTGCTTTGCATATTGGATATTCACAGAGATATATCATCCTGAGCACCAATATATATCCAGATATATCCAGATTATTCGATTCTTACAATATTATCTTATTATTATTCTTATTTTCAGGTTGTAACTTCATTTTTATTTTTTAAGAAAGCTTCTGTGACAACGCGATCTCCCTGTGGATCAATAAAGTCTACGTCTAAACATTCTTTTAAAGTGGTAAAGTGAATTGCATAAGTTGATCAGTGCATCATTCCAACTCTCGCTCATTTTATTAGTTCTATATTTTTGCTTTTCAAACACGTCTGTTTCTCTAAACTCAAAAAGACTGTCTCTGATTGTGAACAGTTTCTGTCGTGGTTCAAACAGAAGCTCATTTTCAATCTTAAACATTAATATCAAACTATAAAGATCAAGTGTCTCTGATTGCAACCTCCCAGACTCAGACTCAGACTCAGACTCAGACTCAGACTCAGTCTCAGTCCCAGACTCAGACTCAGACTCAGTCTCAGTCCCAGACTCAGACTCAGACCCAGACCCAGTCCCAGACTCAGACCCAGACCCAGACCCAGACCCAGACCCAGACCCAGTCCTAGACCCAGACTCAGACCCAGACCCAGTCCCAGACCCAGACCCAGACTCAGTCCCAGACTCAGTCCCAGACCCAGACTCAGACCCAGACCCAGTCCCAGACCCAGACCCAGACTCAGTCCCAGACTCAGTCCCAGACTCAGACTCAGTCCCAGACTCAGTCCCAGACTCAGTCTCAGTCCCAGACCCAGACCCAGACCCAGACTCAGACTCAGACTCAGACCCAGACCCAGACCCAGACCCAGACCCAGTCCTAGACCCAGTCCTAGACCCAGTCCCAGACCCAGACCCAGACCCAGACCCAGACTCAGTCCCAGACTCAGACCCAGACCCAGACCCAGTCCTAGACCCAGTCCTAGACCCAGTCCTAGACCCAGACCCAGACCCAGACCCAGACCCAGACCCAGACCCAGACCCAGTCCTAGACCCAGACCCAGACCCAGACCCAGACCCAGTCCTAGACCCAGACCCAGACCCAGACCCAGACCCAGACCCAGACCCAGACTCAGTCCCAGACCCAGACCCAGACCCAGACCCAGACCCAGACTCAGACCCAGACCCAGACCCAGACCCAGACCCAGTCCTAGACCCAGTCCTAGACCCAGTCCCAGACCCAGACCCAGACCCAGACCCAGACCCAGACTCAGTCCCAGACCCAGACCCAGTCCCAGTCCTAGACCCAGACCCAGACCCAGACCCAGTCCTAGACCCAGACCCAGACTCAGTCCCAGACTCAGACTCAGACCCAGACCCAGTCCCAGACCCAGACCCAGACTCAGTCCCAGACTCAGACTCAGACCCAGACCCAGACCCAGACCCAGACTCAGTCCCAGACCCAGACCCAGACCCAGACCCAGACCCAGACCCAGACTCAGTCCCAGACCCAGACCCAGACCCAGACCCAGACTCAGTCCCAGACCCAGACTCAGTCCCAGACTCAGTCCCAGACTCAGACCCAGACCCAGACCCAGACCCAGTCCTAGACCCAGACCCAGACCCAGACCCAGACCCAGACCCAGACCCAGTCCTAGACCCAGACCCAGACCCAGACCCAGACCCAGACCCAGTCCCAGACCCAGACCCAGACCCAGACCCAGACCCAGACCCAGACCCAGACCCAGTCCCAGACCCAGTCCTAGACCCAGACCCAGACCCAGACCCAGACCCAGACCCAGACCCAGTCCCAGACCCAGACCCAGACCCAGACCCAGTCCAAGACTCAGTCCCAGACTCAGTCCCAGACCCAGACTCAGACCCAGACCCAGTCCCAGACCCAGACCCAGACTCAGTCCCAGACTCAGTCCCAGACTCAGACTCAGTCCCAGACTCAGTCCCAGACTCAGTCTCAGTCCCAGACCCAGACCCAGACCCAGACTCAGTCCCAGACTCAGACCCAGACCCAGACCCAGACCCAGTCCTAGACCCAGTCCTAGACCCAGTCCCAGACCCAGACCCAGACCCAGACCCAGACTCAGTCCCAGACTCAGACCCAGACCCAGACCCAGACCCAGTCCTAGACCCAGTCCTAGACCCAGTCCTAGACCCAGACCCAGACCCAGACCCAGACCCAGACCCAGACCCAGACCCAGTCCTAGACCCAGACCCAGACCCAGACCCAGACCCAGTCCTAGACCCAGACCCAGACCCAGACCCAGACCCAGACCCAGACCCAGACTCAGTCCCAGACCCAGACCCAGACCCAGACCCAGACCCAGACTCAGACCCAGACCCAGACCCAGACCCAGTCCTAGACCCAGTCCTAGACCCAGTCCCAGACCCAGACCCAGACCCAGACCCAGACCCAGACTCAGTCCCAGACCCAGACCCAGTCCCAGTCCTAGACCCAGACCCAGACCCAGACCCAGTCCTAGACCCAGACCCAGACTCAGTCCCAGACTCAGACTCAGACCCAGACCCAGTCCCAGACCCAGACCCAGACTCAGTCCCAGACTCAGACTCAGACCCAGACCCAGACCCAGACCCAGACTCAGTCCCAGACCCAGACCCAGACCCAGACCCAGACCCAGACCCAGACTCAGTCCCAGACCCAGACCCAGACCCAGACCCAGACTCAGTCCCAGACCCAGACTCAGTCCCAGACTCAGTCCCAGACTCAGACCCAGACCCAGACCCAGACCCAGACCCAGACCCAGACCCAGACCCAGACCCAGACCCAGTCCTAGACCCAGACCCAGACCCAGACCCAGACCCAGACCCAGACCCAGACCCAGTCCTAGACCCAGACCCAGACCCAGACCCAGTCCTAGACCCAGACCCAGACCCAGTCCCAGACCCAGTCCCAGACCCAGACCCAGACCCAGACCCAGACCCAGACCCAGTCCCAGACCCAGACCCAGACCCAGACCCAGTCCAAGACCCAGACCCAGACCCAGACCCAGACCCAGTCCCAGACCCAGACCCAGACCCAGACCCAGACCCAGTCCCAGACCCAGACCCAGACCCAGACCCAGACTCAGACCCAGTCCCAGACCCAGTCCCAGACCCAGACCCAGACCCAGACCCAGACCCAGACCCAGACCCAGTCCTAGACCCAGACCCAGACCCAGACCCAGACCCAGTCCTAGACCCAGTCCTAGACCCAGACCCAGACCCAGACCCAGTCCTAGACCCAGACCCAGACCCAGACCCAGACTCAGTCCCAGTCCCAGACCCAGACCCAGACCCAGACCCAGACCCAGTCCCAGACCCAGTCCAGACCCAGACCCAGACCCAGACTCAGTCCCAGACCCAGACCCAGACTCAGACCCAGACTCAGTCCCAGACCCAGACCCAGACCCAGACTCAGACCCAGACTCAGACCCAGACCCAGACCCAGACCCAGACTCAGACCCAGACCCAGACCCAGACTCAGACCCAGACCCAGACTCAGACCGCCCTCCGCAGGACAGGGAATATCAAAACCTAGAGTCAATCAAATTTGAATTTTCTCAAAATACATAGAATCTACTGCCTCCTGTCTGCAAAAGCCAGATTCGACACATTTCTGAAGCTGTGCAGGGCAGGGCCTGGTTAGTACAGGGATGGGAGACCTCTGGTGCTACGCTGGGCGGGCTGTAAAGTGCCAAACTGCTGTTGTGTCCTTAGGCAAGACACTCCACCCAGATTGACCAGAACGATCTTCCAATGGGACTTCCAAATGATACAAGAAATGTCTCTCTTGGAATGAGAAAATAAAGCAACAGGAGCGGCTGCATTTCAGATTGATGCAGCTAGAATATGGAACAGTCTTCCTGAGGTTGTGAGACAGGCCTGTACCCTGACCATGTTCAAAACTAGGCTCTTTTTAATGAGAGTTTAAACCCCATACTTTTATACTGCTCTGTTTCAATAGAAAATGATTGTATATATTTATTTTTTGATGCATTTTGATAGCACTTTGAATTGCTTTGTACACAAACTGTGCAATACAAATAAATGATTGAACAGTTCTTGAAATGAGTATAAATGGTTTTGTCCCATATTTTGCCTCATATTTTAACTACTGCACCTGGTTCTGGCATCGTCCACTTCTCACAGAGGAACGGATCGCTGGGCTCCGAGGGCTTTCCCACTCCCACCACATTCGCAGCAAACACACGGAATCGGTAAAAGTCTCCACTGGTCAAGTTGGACACCTATAACACGGAAAGAAACTTTAATAATACATCAAACTCATATTTTGTTTTTTTGGACACTCAAAGACACTATACAAAACATATAAATAATATATATTCACAAAATAAACATAGAAGAGCAAAAATGAAGGAAAAGCAGAAACTGGTGGGTTTTAAGGAGGGCTTTAAAGTTCTGTATAGATAGATAAATGCTTTATTGTCAGATACAAGGATCCGAAATTTGTTTTGCAGTTCAGCAGCTCCGTAAAAATACAAACAAGACATACAGGTATAGGTATAGGTATTGAGTTTCTGACGGTCTAGAGAGTGGGGGCAGCTGCAGCCAAGCCTCGGTTATTATTATTTATTATTTATTATATCACAGAAAAAAAACTTTACCACAGACATCATACAGATTCAGTTTATTTGCCATTTGCAGAAAAACCAGTGTGCACAAGACAAGTACAGATCCCATCAGCCAAGCAGGGCAGGGCCTGGTTAGTACTGTGATGGGAGACCTCTGGGAACAGCAGGTGCCACAGTGGGGCGGCTGCGGCTGTAAAGTGCCAAACTGTGTCCTTAGGTAAGTCACGTCCCCCACATTAGAATGAGTCTGGTGTGTGTGTAGGGGCCGATGGTGCAGACTACAGTGCCTTGCGAAAGTATTCGGCCCCCTTGAACCTTTCAACATTTTGCCACATTTCAGGCTTCAAACATAAAGATATAAAATTATAATTTTTTGTCATGAATCAACAACAAGTGGGACACAATCGTGAAGTGGAACAAAATCTATTGGATAATTTAAACTTTAAAAAAAAATAAAAAACTGAAAAGTGGGGCGTGCAATATTATTCGGCCCCTTTACTTTCAGTGCAGCAAACTCAGTCCAGAAGTTCAGTGAGGATCTTTGAATGATCCAATGTTGTCCTAAATGACTGATGATGATAAATAGAATGCACCTGTGTGTAATCAAGTCTCCGTATAAATGCACCTGCTCTTTGATAGTCTCAGGGTTCTGTTTAAAGCACAGAGAGAACCATGAAGACAAAGGAACACACCAGGCAGGTCCGAGATACTGTTGTGGAGAAGTTTAAAGCCGGATTTGGATACAAAAAGATTTCCCAAGCTTTAAACATCTCAAGGAGCACTGTGCAAGCAATTATATTGAAATGGAAGGAGTATCCGACCACTGCAAATCTACCAAGACCCGGCCGTCCCTCCAAACTTTCATCTCAAACAAGGAGAAGACTGATCATAGATGCAGCCAAGAGGCCCATGATCACTCTGGATGAACTGCAGATAACTACAGCTGAGGTGGGAGAGTCTGTCCATAGGACAACAATCAGTTGTGCACTGCACAAATCTGGCCTTTATGGAAGAGTGGCCATTTCTCAAAGATATCCAATAAAAGTCTCTTAAAGTTTGCCACAAGCCACCTGGGAGACACACCAAACATGTGGAAGAAGGTGCTCTGGTCAGATGAAACCAAAATCAAACTTTTTGGCCACAATGCAAAACGATATGTTTGGCGTAAAAGCAACACAGCTCATCACCCTGAACACACCATCCCCACCTCAGCTGTAGTTATCTGCAGTTCATCCAGAGTGATCATGGGCCTCTTGGCTGCATCTCTGATCAGTCTTCTCCTTGTTTGAGATGAAAGTTTGGAGGGACGGCCGGGTCTTGGTAGATTTGCAGTGGTCTGATACTCCTTCCATTTCAATATAATTGCTTGCACAGTGCTCCTTGAGATGTTTAAAGCTTGGGAAATCTTTTTGTATCCAAATCCGGCTTTAAACTTCTCCACAACAGTATCTCGGACCTGCCTGGTGTGTTCCTTTGTCTTCATGGTTCTCTCTGTGCTTTAAACAGAACCCTGAGACTATCAAAGAGCAGGTGCATTTATACGGAGACTTGATTACACACAGGTGCATTCTATTTATCATCATCAGTCATTTAGGACAACATTGGATCATTCAAAGATCCTCACTGAACTTCTGGACTGAGTTTGCTGCACTGAAAGTAAAGGGGCCAAATAATATTGCACGCCCCACTTTTCAGTTTTTTATTTGTTAAAAAAGTTTAAATTATCCAACAAATTTCATTCCACTTCACGATTGTGTCCCACTTGTTGTTGATTCATGACAAAAAAATAAAATATTATATCTTTATGTTTGAAGCCTGAAATGTGGCAAAATGTTGAAAGGTTCAAGGGGGCCGAATACTTTCGCAAGGCACTGTAGTTGCCTCATTAGACAGAAAGTTATATATATCCAGCCTGTATTGTTTCCCCTTAAGAAAACTGTCTGTCTCTGTGTGCTTGTGAACATTCCCACAGCCCGAGTTGTCTATCTCCAGTGACTAAACTAGCGGCGCTAGCATGTAGCCCTGCTAGCATGTATATATAGTCACCTCCGTGAACACATACTGCTGTTATATAAAGTCACCTCCGTGAACACATACTGCTGTTATATAAAGTCACCTCCGTGAACACATACTGCTGTTATATAAAGTCACCTCCGTGAACACATACTGCTGTTATATAAAGTCACCTCCGTGAACACATACTGCTGTTATATACAGTCACCTCCGTGAACACATACTGCTGTTATATAAAGTCTCTGGAAGGTCTCTGAACACAGAGACGCTGCAGAGCTGCCTTTTCGAGAAGAACTTTAAACAAAAAGCCGCTAGCATAACTCTGCTAACTCTGCTAGCCTAACTTCGCTAGTTTAACTCTGTGAGCCCAGGACTTCTGGTCTGAACACCCTTAGCCTCTGTAATGTAGAGAATGTGCGTCTACTGTGCGTGGAAACTGCGTTCTAGTGGCGGTCTGAACGCCCCATAAGACGACAACTGCGTACTACTGCTACTACTGCTACTACTGCTGCTACTGCTGCTACCACTGCTACTACTGCTACTACTGCTACTACTGCTGCTACTGCTGCTACCACTGCTACTACTGCTACTGCTGCTACTACTGCTACTACTGCTACTGCTGCTGCTACTGCTGCTACTACTGCTACTACTGCTACTGCTGCTACTACTGCTACTGCTGCTACTGCTGCTACTGCTGCTACTACTGCTACTACTGCTACTACTGCTACTGCTGCTGCTACTGCTGCTACTACTGCTACTACTGCTACTGCTGCTACTACTGCTACTGCTGCTACTACTGCTACTGCTGCTACTGCTGCTACTGCTGCTACTGCTGCCATCTTTGTTATGAGTATGACGCATCGACATGCATATATGTATGCGTCTCATCGATTACGTCGATGCATTGTCCCAGCCCTAGTCACCTTGCCTGTAAAAAGTCTATCCTTCACTAGTGTCACATTTTAGGGTTGAATTACAGAAACAAATTCACTTCTGAATGATAATTCACATTTTCCCAGCGTCCCCTGTACATTAGCATTGAACCCGCATGAGCTGCAAATGCGACAAGGCAATAAAAGTGTGTAAAACTATAATTGGATGGTGTGAAAGACAGTAAAGCAGCTAAAGTTTCTCATTACTGCTTGTTCTATTTCCCCGGAGGCAGGTGTTCGTGGTTCGAATGTTTTGCTAAGCTCCCAGGGCACTTACGCATCGGGAAGAGAAAGAGTCGGACTCATCGATCGAGGGAATTGATCTCCGTATTCACAGCCGCTTAGACTTTAGGGGCCCTTATCATTTTGTGCAGCAGTTGTGAACTTCTCTGGGGCAACTAATTGACACAACCGCGGGGAATGTGTTTGGCCGTAACAGCAAAAGCATTCTGAAGAGCGTCCCTTCCCTTTCTGACGCCTACTGTTATCTATAGATTGTTTTCTAAGTTCGATCAGACGGAGCAGGCTGCTTTTATCGCATCAATAAACAGTTTGTGGCAGAGAGATTCTGACTGACTTCTGCTGCAGCGATGAAACTTTACTAAATGTGTTTTTTGGATGCGTCAAAGTGATTTGACGCTGCAGTGATTTTAAACTGCAGCTAAATCAGGACAGAATCGCACACAAACATAGTTTAGACATTCTTTATACTTGTCTGTCCAAGGAGAAAATGCTTTTTAGAGGAGACAGTGGACAAGACCAGCCTCGTGCCATTGGTATTTTAAACAGATCTCTGTTATTCCGCTATATATCTTTGTTTCCTTGTGTATTGTGAACCTTTCTGCTGCCAAATTGTCCTTCAGGGATAATAAAGATACCTTGAACTCGTACAAAGCAAAATCTGACCCAGAACAGAAGCAGATGGGATTCATAGAAAAAGAGGACACACCTTCATCATATGCATACAGTGATGGAAGAACCAACAAAACAAAGGAACAATGGAATGTTTAGCCTTCCAACCTGGATTTAAAACCTGGATTCAAGGTGGATTGACTGGATTCTGGAATTTCAAATTGATTATGATACATCCTTATTGATCCGCAGCTTTTTATTTGGAATGTTGTGACACAATCCTGAACAAATGTCCGTAAACAACAATAAAGTTAACAAGTGGATTCCATTGGGTCTGGGATTTACAACACGCAGCAGAAGGGCCACATAAAATAGCACAGAGGGCCGCAATTGGCCCGTGGGCCTGAGTTTGGACATGCCTGATGTAAAGTAACCGTCCTGTTTACAGGAAAATAGTAAACCAAAGACTCACAACTTCAAACAGTGCCCAGGCTTCCTTTTGGCAAAAATCATTCATATACAAACATCTTGGTCCAGACTTCTTGGAGCCAAAGGTGAATTAAAATGAAACTACTCAAAATGTATTTCAGCCACATATAATTCCTTAGAATTACAACTTAAAAACAACATTCTAATGACACAAAGTCACAGCTCAGTAAAATGTATTACAGCCGAGGTATAACAAGGGGATGATCTATTCTAGGACATTTATGGACATTCTCCTTATGGACCAATGGCACTGTTTGGTTTCGTGAACTGCTTTATTCTCTGGGTTGGCAAATTAACAACTTTAAATTAAATGAAACAATATCTGACTGAATACACTGCTCTAACCCGAAACATGGACAGAATCTTGAGCCAAACTGTATTTAGTTTGTGATAACACTTTACATTGAGCCAAATGTGAGTAAACAGTGCAGGTGGACAGTGACTGCAGGTTCTCCCATACACCAGTAGGGGGAGCTGCAGGGTTTTTAACAGCCTCTTAACAAGCACGGATACAAAACAAATCCATATTTGCATAAAGTAAATGTGGTCATTTGAATGCAGTGGTGGCTAAGGAGAGTAAGGGCCACAATCCTCAGGGGCCACAGTACAGCACGGGTCTGACTGGCAAATTATGATATTTTGGATAATTGGAGAATGGATGATATGATAATTATAATCATATATTTTAGTTCCTTGAAAATACTTGCCTTATATAATGAATGCAATATTCTTTTAATAGTCACCATAATCGAATATCTGTACCAGGTTCGATGTGTTTTTTTTTTGCTTTGAAAGAGAAAAAATTTAGTGTTTGTCTTTGTATGTGAATGTACATCATTTAAAATACACTGTTCATGAAGGAATTGGATCTTAACATTGCCATAAATACTTTTGCATAAATAGAATTGATTGCGATTCTCTTTTCTAAATCTACAAACCATTTATTCAGAGCACACTTTTTATTCCACATCAGAAGCATCAATAATCTCAAAGAAATCCACATTGACAGGCTGCAAAAACCCTTATTCCATTGCAGGTTCCCGACCCGTTTGACAGATGTGGGTTCGGTAAAAACACTAAAACCCATGTCCTTTCAAGAGAAGTCTGTTTGAATGAAGCGAGAGGACAGTAAATCCACAGACCTTGAGCTTCCTCTCTTTGACAGCCGCCTCGTTGACCTGTTTCCACTCCATCGCTCCCTCTTCCTTCTTGTCCAGGTAGTACCCGCACACAGGGGCCCCCCCGCTGTGAGCAGGGCCCCGCCAGCCCAACACCATCTCTGAGCCCGTGCACAGCAGCAGAGCGATGGCCGAGGGAGCAGACGGCACTCCTAGAAACCAGAAATGTGTATATGTTTTTATACTTTTTTATTTTGGAATGTTCTGGAAACTGCAGTGAGTCCTGAGTGTCTCTGAAACAGTTGTTTTGTGTTTCACAATTGTTACTTTTCTTTCTTTTTTCTGCTTGAGATGTTGCTGCAGTTCAGTGTTCATGGTTTTACACTGGTCCAGACCAGAGCAGAGAGGATTCATGGTTTTACACTGGTCCAGACCAGAGCAGAGAGGATTCATGGTTTTACACTGGTCCAGACCAGAGCAGAGAAAATGGTCTGAACCAAGCGGCTGCTGTTGTATTTTAATACTATTGTTAGCTACTTCATTATTATTCATTAGTTGTGTTTGTTTGGATGGATGTGTTTCTGCTGCTGTTGCATTTCTTCTACAGGGATCAATAAAGTATCTTTCTATCTATGTTGTGTCCTTATGTGTCTCTTCTACACGGTTCTACACGGCCATCACCTCCTCCATCACCTCCTCCATCACCTCCTCCATCACCTCCTCCATCACCTCCTCCCTCACCTCCTCCATCACCTCCTCCATCACCTCCTCCATCACCTCCTCCATCACCTCCGTCCTCACCTCCTCCATCACCTCCTCCAGCACCTCCTCCGTCACCGTGTGGTTTGCTGGAGCCACAGTCAGGGACAAACAGAGACTACAGTGCATTGTGCGCTCTGCAGAGGAAGTGATCGGCCGCAGCCTTCCATCGCTGCAGGACCTGTACGTCGCCCGAGCTCGAGGCCGGGCTGGTCGTATTACAGCCGACCCCTCTCACCTGCACATGGACTATTCCAACCACTCCCCTCTCACCTGCACATGGACTATTCCAACCACTCCCCTCTCACCTGCACATGGACTATTCCAACCACTCCCCTCTCACCTGCACATGGACTATTCCATCCACTCCCCTCAGGCAGGAGGCTGCGGTCCATCAGGACTAGAATCTCCCGCCACAAGAACAGTTTCTTCCCCTCTGCTGTTGGACTCTTGAACACTTCTTAACCTGTCCCCCCGCCCTTTATAGCTGTGGCTACAGTAGTTTGTCACCACCGTGTTTGGAGAGAAAGAATAATGACGTGACGAGACTTAGAGAGTCTAGAAAAACGCTGAATAAAACTGATGAATTATTATTATTATCATTAACTCACATCCATAAAGAAATACTTCCCTCCCTCCGGTTCGGTCAAAGTGAACCAGATCTAGCTCCTGGTGTATTTCCGTGTACTCACTGATCGCTGCTTTGACCCTGATGGGCAGAGACTCCTCTGAATAGACGCTGTTTCCGGCTCGACTCACGGACTTGGCTCTGAACACGTACTCTCTCCCCGTCTTCAGGCCGTCTACGGTGAAGCTGCAGCGAAAGGACAGAAAACAATGAATGAAAGAATGAATGTCGTTGTGATTGTTGTACGCTGCAAAAAGGGATGCCAAATAAAAAAAAATGGCTCACTCCTCAGCCTCCCCGGTAAGGTCTACTCCAAGGTACTGGAGAGGAGGCTACGGCCGATGGTCAAATCTCGGATCCAGGAGGGGCAGTGTGGTTTTCGTCCCGGTCGCGGAACACTGGACCAGCTCTATACTCTCCATCGGATACTCAAGGGTTCATGGGAGTTCGCCCAACCTGTCCACATGTGCTTTGTGGATTTGGAGAAGGCGTTCGACTGTGTTCCCCGGGGTGTCCTTCGGGGGGTTCTCCGGGAGTACGGGGTCGGGGGTCCTCTGCTGAGGGCCGTCCCGTCCCTGTATGACCGGAGCCAGAGCTGTGTTCGCATCAGCAGTAAGTCAGACCTGTTCCCAGTGCATGTTTGGCCTCCACCAGGGCTGCCCTTTGTCACCGGTTCTGTTCACTGTATTTATGGACAGTATTTCTAGGCGCAGCCACGGGCCGGAGGGGGTCCGGTTCGGAGACCGGATCCGAGGCCATGGTGCTCGACCGGAAAAAGGTCCCTTGCCTTCTCCGGGTGGATGGAGGGGTCCTTCCTCAAGTGGAGGAGTTCAAGTATCTCGGGGTCTTGTTCAGGAGTGAGGGAAGGATGGAGCGTGAGATTGACAGGCGGATCGGTGCAGCGTGCGCAGTGGTGTGGTCGCTGTATCGGACCGTTGTGGTAAAGAGGGAGCAGCGTCTGCAGTCAGAGCTGTATCGGACCGTTGTGGTAAAGAGGGAGCTGAGCCGAAAGGCAAAGCTCTCGATTTACCGGTCAATCTTCGTTCCCTCCCTCACCTATGGTCATGAGCTTTGGGTAATGACCGAAAGAACGAGATCGCGGATACAAGCGGTCGAAATGAGCTTCCTCCGCAGAGTGGCAGGGCGCTCCCTTAGAGATAGGGTGAGGAGCTCAGTCACACCGGAGGAGCTCGGAGTAGAGCCGCTGCTTCTCCACGTCGAGAGGAACCAGTTGAGGTGGCTCGGGCATCTGTTCCGGATGCCTCCTGGACGCCTCACTGGGGAGGTGTTCTGGGCACGTCCCACCGGGAGGAAGCCCCGCGGAAGACCCAGGACACGCTGGAGGGACTATGTCTCTCAGCTGGGAACGCCTTGGGGTCCCCCCGGACGAGCTGGAGGAAGTGTGTGTGGATAGGGAAGTCTGGGCTTAGACTGCTGCCCCAGACGGGGCTGGCGGGACCTGGCAACGGATGAAGCGGGAGGAAAATGGATGGCTCAAGTTAAACAAAATGAATCTAAATTTGAGCCTATTTTGACAAAACACATGAACTAAAAAACTTTCCATAATCGCTGGATTCTTGGTTTTCCAGATTTGTAAGTTTAGTGAGTAATGTTTATTTATATAGCGCAGTTTACCGACCAAGGTCAAAGCACTTTACAACTGTTGAGAGTTCAGATCATTCATTCTCCTGGAAGCGAGACGCCGAACACACTGGACCATCAAAACCTCCGCCCAAACACCATCCATTCACTATGAGGATACTATGGAGATACTATGGAGATACTATGAAGATACTATGGAGATACTATGGAGATACTATGGAGATACTATGGATATACAATGAAGATACTATGGAGATACTATGAAGATACTATGGAGATACTATGAAGATACTATGAAGATACTATGGAGATACTATGGATATACAATGAAGATACTAGGGAGATACTATGGAGATACTATGAAGATACTATGGAGATACTATGGAGATACTATAGAGATATTATGGAGATACTATGGAGATACTATGGATATACAATGAAGATACTATGGAGATACTATGAAGATACTATGGAGATGCTATGAAGATACTAGGGAGATACTATAGAAATATTATGGAGATACTATGGAGATACTATGAAGATACTATGGAGATACTATGAAGATACTATGGAGATACTAGGGAGACAATATGAAGATACTATGGAGATACTATGAAGATACTAGGGAGATACTATGAAGATACTATGGAGATACTATGAAGATACTATGGAGATGCTATGAAGATGCTATGGAGATGCTATAGAGATACTATGGAGATACTATGGCGATACTATGAAGATGCTATGAAGATACTAGGGAGATACTATGAAGATACTATGGAGATACTATAGAGATACTATGGAGATACTATGGAGATACTATGAAGATACTATGGAGATACTATGGAGATACTATGGAGATACTAGGGAGATACTATGAAGATACTATGGAGATACTAGGGAGATACTATGAAGATACTATGGAGATGCTATGAAAATGCTATGAAGATGCTATGAAGATACTATGAAGATACTATGAAGATACTATGAAGATACTAGGGAGATACTATGAAGATACTATGGAGATACTATGAAGATGCTATGAAGATGCTATGGAGATACTATGGCGATACTATGAAGATACTGGGGAGATTCTAGGGAGATACTATGAAGATACTATGGAGATACTATGGATATACAATGAAGATACTAGGGAGATACTATGCAGATACTATGAAGATGCTATGAAGATACTATGGAGATACTATGAAGATGCTATGAAGATGCTATGAAGATGCTATGGAGATACTATGAAGATACTATGGAGATACTATAGAGATACTATGGAGATACTATGAAGATACTGGGGAGATTCTAGGGAGATACTATGAAGATACTATGGAGATACTATGGACATACAATGAAGATACTAGGGAGATACTATGAAGATACTATGAAGATGCTATGAAGATACTATGAAGATGCTATGAAGATGCTATGAAGATGCTATGGAGATACTATGAAGATACTGGGGAGATTCTAGGGAGATACTATGAAGATACTATGGAGATACTATGGATATACAATGAAGATACTAGGGAGATACTAGGGAGATACTATGAAGATACTAGGGAGATACTATGAAGATACTATGGAGATGCTATGAAGATACTAGGGAGATACTATGAAGATACTATGGAGATGCTATGAAGATACTATGGAGATACTATAAAGATACTATGGCGATACTATGGAGATACTATGACGATACCTGGGTTTGGTGTATGGTTTGTTGTTGATGGTTTCCCAGTTCTGTTTGCCGACCTCACAGCAGTACAGGTAGTATCCCAGAATGCACTCTGTGTCCTGGGGTTCCTGCCACTTCAGCTGCACAGAGGTGTCTGAGTCTCTGAGGGGCATGAGGGAGTGTGGGGGGGCGGGCAAAGCTGAAAGGACAACATGGATTAAGGCAAGGCAAGGTTATTGGTATAGCACAGTGCAAACACAAGGCAACTCTACGTGCTGAAGAAAACAAGAGATGTAGCAGATGTAGCAGCTAAACATCCATCTTCTTCCCCTTAATCCATTTCTGTGCCGTGGGGGGTGCACCCAATTCGAAGCACCAGCCCCTCACTGATCCTGAGTATGTAATATTTATTTATATAGCACATTTCCCAGACCAGAGTCACACAGAGCTTTACATTTGTGGGCATTTTGTCTCTCACTCCACACAGAGATGGAGCAGGTCGTCTACAGGAGCCACATGCCAGAACTATTGTACATGTTTTAAGTGGTAGGGGAAACTGGAGCACCCAGAGGAAACCTACGCAGACACGGGGAGAACATGCAAACTCCACTCAGAAAGGCCGGGATTCGAACCCAGGACCTTCTTGCTGAGAAGCGAGAACCGTGCCGCCCGAGAATGCCGTATCCTCCTGCAGGTGCTGAGCCCACAGGAGCCTTGATCTTTCAGCGGGGGCTTCGGGCATAGTGGGGTTAAGTGTCTTGCCCATGGACACAACGGCAGCAGACATCAGTGGGAGTCGGTGGAGAGTGTGATCGAACTTTGTATGGAAAAATATGTGGCCTATTTTACATCTGGTAATTCACTACATTTTTATACTGTATCTTTGTGAATGTGTTTTTGGCGCCGTATGTTCTGTGTTGAAGATGAATATTGGACTCATTTGATCTGAAAAACAGACATGATTTATGGGCACTGTCCCAATTTGAATGAAATAAACATAAATGAGCATAATCATGTAAAGAATACTAAATACTCTGGCTTAAAGTGGTCGACTGAACAAGAAACTGGATCTTTCTGAGTCTAAACAAATGATGCAGGCCAGCAACATTCATCTTCATTATTGAGAAATCTGCGCAGAGACCCTTAAAACACGAGAACGGTCCTCACGATACTCTTTAGTGTAAAATCTGATTCTTAATTAAACACATGAACTGACCATAAAGACAGGAAAGCAGCTGGAGGTGAGAATAACACTCACACATCACTCTAACCCCGGCATGTCCTAATGGGGCTTTCAGACGCCAACGCTGAAACGCTGAGGTCCCGCTCACCAGACGCGCATTCTCTAGTTTTCAGACGCAGAGGACTTCACACCAAAACGTCCTGACGCAAGCCGGAAGTACCGGAAGTAGCCGGCTCTAATGCTAACAGAGCTATGCTAGCGGCTTCTTGTGTACAGATCTTCTCCAATATGCAGCTTTGCAGCGTGTCTTTGCTCACAGACATTCCACGGGCTTTATACAACAGTAGTATGTGTTCACGGAGGTGCGGCGTACGTGTTTTCATATTAAACGGAATTTCCGCATCGGCGAACACACTCGAAGCCGTTGCATAAAGTCACGGGAGCATGACAACGCATATTTTCACAAGCACAGAGTCCCCCATTGTCAACCCTGGTTTGAGTTCTGGTGAAGTCTGGTGTGGGTTCTGTTTTGGCTGTTTACGAGTATTTTCAGTCTGCTCTCTCAGTCCGCTAATGTCCCCGTGACCACTTTGCTGCTCTCTGATTGGTTGTCGCATGAACGTCCCAAGGAAAGGATGAGCAGAATCCATCTCCTGTGGGCGTCGATTTTTCGCTCCTGCTCCTCCCTTTTCACTTTCCCGCCAAGTCTGTGCGTCATTATTGAACAGTCCGTTCGTGCGAACCGTGAGGTCCGTGCGTTGTGACGGACGAACGTGCGTCACCATAGACTTTGCATTGAAACCCGACGCAGCATGATCCGGTCTGAAAGCACTATAAAACAGGCCCTCTGTGCTATTTCATGTGGCCCTCTGCAGCGAACACAATAACAGTGTCATCCAGCCAACTTCAGCTCCACCAATACAGTCATGCTATACCTTGTTGCAGTGTTCCTCACACATAGGCGAATCTGTGGCGCACCGCACAGCATTAGAATCGTTTTTTAGCAAGCCCCGTAAAATCAGGTGCCCTGATAAAAGGTGCCGACTTTGCGGTGGGCTTTAGCGTAGGGTGTTCTGTTCTAAAGTTCCTACAGTTTTGTGTCGGGTGTTACATTCAATGTATTAAAGTTTTATTGTAATGATATTGTTTTGGTCGATCAATTTCTCAGTGACAATTGTTTACTGTTTTATTTGTTTTATTTCTGTTCTTTTAATGTTGTTTTATGTCTGTACTTGTGCACACTGGGGACTCTTGCTAATATATTCCAATGTGGTTTTACTGCAAATGGCAAATATCATAAATCTGAATCTGAAGTTCTGTGTAAAGTTTGTACTTTGTAGGAATTCTTCGTCCACCCCCGCAGAGGGGGCCCCAACACATTGATTCCAATCCTGTGGGAAACACTGTGTTGTTAATCTCATTCCAAATAAATGCAGCTGTGAATCAATCAGGACTTTAGGATATCAACATTAACTGTTATTAACTGTTTATTAACTCTTTGATTCTCTGATCTGTGTTGGTGATTTCCACATTTTTGTAAAGTCCTCTGAGATACTCTTGTGATTTAGGGCTATTGAATTATCATAACCCATTTTAAATTCCAGAATCCAGTCAATCCAGCTCGATTCCAGTTCTTTTTAATCCAGGTCGAGTCTGATGATCTAAAATGGCCCTCTTACTTAAAAGTTTGGACACCTCTGCTCTAACCTCCAGTGGGTGAATGAGAATGGAGAAATACAAGTGAAACTCAATAAAAAAAATTAAAGAAACATTTACCGGAACAACTGTAATTCAACTTACACTGTGAAACTAATCTATGAAAGCTTGTTACACACAATAACGATAATTATGGATCACAGCTTGGAAAAAAGACATGTAGTCAGAAGGTACTCAAAAAAAAAACCGAACCATTATATTCAAAAATTTCTCACCTCATATTTGATATTTTTTGCAGTGAAATAACTGAAAAACTAAATGTACTTGAGCTGGTCCATTTTGGCTGAATCTGCCAGTGGGAAAAGTTAGTCTTGTTTTAAAGAATATTCTCTTGGAATGACAATTAACCCATAATAAGACCGTAAACTGCTCGTTCCTTTGACAAAGAGTCAGACTCGATCCAAGAGAAGAAAAACAAAAAGCAATTATCGCCTCATATTTTATGCTCTGAGCTCAAACACAGAATCTGAACCGAACTGAGAATGACTTGAGTTACACACACACACACACACACACACACGCGCACACACACACACACGCGCACACACGCACACACACACGCACACACGCACACACGCGCACACACGCACACACACGCACACACACACGCACACACGCGCACACCTCCCTTCTCTCTCCTCCCACCTCCCTCCTCCCTCCTCACTCCTCTCTCCTCCCTCTTCTCTCCTCCCACCTCTCTCCTCTCTCCTCACTCTTCCCTCCTCTCCTCTCTCTCCTCCCTCCTCTCTCCTCCCACCTCTCTCCTCTCTCCTCCCTCCTCTCTCCTCACTCCTCCCTCCTCTCTCCTCCCTCCTCCCTCCTCACTCCTCTCTCCTCCCTCCTCTCTCCTCCCACCTCTCTCCTCCCTCCTCTCTCCTCCCACCTCCTCTCCTCTCTCCTCACTCTTCCCTCCTCTCCTCTCTCTCCTCCCTCCTCTCTCCTCCCACCTCTCTCCTCTCTCCTCCCTCCTCTCTCCTCACTCCTCTCTCCTCCCTCCTCTCCTCCTCCCTCCTCCCTCCTCACTCCTCTCTCCTCCCTCCTCTCTCTCTCCTCCCACCTCTCTCCTCCCTCCTCTCTCCTCCCACCTCTCTCCTCTCTCCTCACTCTCCCCTCCTCTCTCTCTCTCTCTCCTCCCTCCTCTCTCTCTCTCCTCCCTCCTCTCTCTCCTCTCTCCTCCTCCCTCTCTCCTCTCTCTCTCTCTCTCCTCCCTCCTCTCTCTCCTCCCTCCTCTCTCCTCCGACCTCTCTCCTCACTCTTCCCTCCTCTCCTCTCTCTCCTCCCTCCTCTCTCCTCCCACCTCTCTCCTCTCTCCTCCCTCCTCTCCTCTCTCTCTCCTCTCTCCTCTCTCCTCCCTCCTCTCTCCTCCCTCCTCTCTCCCCTCCCACCTCTCTCCTCTCCTCTCTCTCCTCCCTCCTCTCTCCTCCTACCTCTCTCCTCCCTCCTCTCCCCCCACCTCTCTCCTCTCTCCTCCCTCCTCTCCTCTCTCTCTCTCTCTCCTCACTCCTCCCTCCTCCTCCTCTCTCTCTCTCCTCCTCCTCTCTCCTCCCACCTCCCTCCTCTCTCCTCTCCTCTCTCTCCTCCCTCCTCTCTCCTCCCTCCTCCGTCCTCTCTCCTCCCACCTCTCTCCTCTCTCCTCACTCTTCCCACCTCTCTCCTCCCTCCTCTCTCCTCTCTCTCCTCCCTCCTCTCTCCTCCCTCCTCTCCTCTCTCTCCTCCCTCCTCTCTCCTCCCACCTCTCTCCTCCCTCCTCTCTCCTCTCTCCTCCCTCCTCCCACCTCTCTCCTCCATCCTCTCCTCTCTCTCCTCCCACCTCTCTCCTCCCACCTCCCACCTCCCTCCTCTCTCTCCTCCCACCTCTCTCCTCTCTCCTCCCTCCTCTCTCCTCCCCTCCTCTCTCCTCCCACCTCTCTCCTCACTCTTCCCACCTCTCTCTCCTCCCTCCTCTCTCCTCCCAACTCTCTCCTCGCTCCTCCCTCCTCTTCTCTCTCTCCTCCCTCCTCTCTCCTCCCACCTCTCTTCCCACCTCCCTCCTCTCTCCTCTCCTCTCTCTCCTCCCTCCTCCCACCTCCCTCCTCTCTCCTCTCCTCTCTCTCTCTCTCCTCTCTCCTCCCACCTCCCTCCTCTCTCTCTCTCTCCTCCCTCCTCTCTCCTCCCACCTCCCTCCTCTCTCTCTCTCCTCTCTCCTCCCACCTCTCTTCTCTCCTCCCTCCTCTCTCCTCCCTCCTCTCTCCTCCCACCTCCCTCCTCCTCTCTCTCCTCTCTCCTCTCCTCCCACCTCCCTCCTCTCTTCTCTCCTCCCTCCTCTCTCCTCTCTCCTCCCCACCTCCCTCCTCTCTTCTCTCTCTCTCTCCTCACTCCTCCTTCCTCTCTCCTCCCACCTCCCTCCTCTCTTCTCTCCTCTCTCCTCCCACCTCCCTCCTCTCTCCTCACTCTTCTCTCCTCCCTCCTCTCTCTCTCTCCTCCTCTCTCTCTCTCTCCTCCCCACCTCCCTCCTCTCTCCTCACTCTTCTCTCCTCCCTCCTCTCTTCTCTCCTCCCTCCTCTCTCCTCTCTCCTCCCACCTCCCTCCTCTCTCCTCCTCACTCTTCTCTCCTCCCTCCTCTCCTCTCTCCTCCCCCTCCTCACTCCTCCTTCCTCTCTCCTCCCACCTCTCTCCTCCCACCTCCCTCCTCTCTCTCTCCTCTCCTCCCACCTCCCTCCTCTCTCCTCACTCTTCTCTCCTCCCTCCTCTCTTCTCTCTCTCTCTCTCTCCTCCTCCCTCCCTTCTTCTCTCTTCTCTCCTCCCTCCTCTCTCCTCTCTCCTCCCACCTCCCTCCTCTCTTCTCTCCTCTCTCCTCCCACCTCCCTCCTCTCTCCTCACTCTTCTCTCCTCTCTCCTCTCTTCTCTCTCCTCCCACCTCTCTCCTCCTTCCTCTCCTCCCACCTCCCTCCTCCTCTCCTCCCACCTCTCTCCTCCCTCCTCTCTCCTCTCTCTCTCCTCTCTCTCTCTCTCCTCCCTCCTCCTTCCTCTCCTCTCTCCTCCCACCTCTCTCCTCACTCTTCCCACCTCTCTCCTCCCTCCTCTCTCCTCCCTCCTCTCTCTCTCTCTCCTCCCTCCTCTCTCCTCCCACCTCTCTCCTCCCTCCTCTCCTCTCTCTCCTCCCTCCTCTCTCCTCCCACCTCCCTCCTCTCTCTCCTTCCTCCTCTCTCCTCCCTCCTCTCTCCTCCCACCTCTCTCCTCTCTCCTCCCTCCTCTCTCCTCCCACCTCTCTTCCCACCTCCCTCCTCTCCTCTCTCTCCTCCCACCTCCCTCCTCTCTCCTCTCTCCTTCCTCTTCTCTTCTCTCCTCTCTCCTCCCACCTCCCTCCTCTCTTCTCTCTCCTCCCTCCTCTCTCCTCTCACCTCCCTCCTCTCCTCTCTCCTCCCACCTCCCTCCTCTCTTCTCTCCTCCCTCCTCTCTCCTCTCACCTCCCTCCTCTCTTCTCTCCTCTCTCCTCCCTCCTCTCTCCTCTCTCCTCCTTCCTCTCTCCTCCCACCTCCCTCCTCTCTCCTCACTCTTCTCTCCTCCCTCCTCTCTCCTCTCTTCTCTCTCCTCTCTCTCCTCCCTCCTCTCCTCTCTCTCCTCCCACCTCTCTCCTCCCTCCTCTCTTCTCTCCTCTCTCCTCCCACCTCCCTCCTCTCCTCTCTCTCCTCCCTCCTCTCTCCTCCTTCCTCTCTCCTCCCCCCTCCCTCCTCTCTCACCTTGTGGTTTTCCCAAGCACAACGGAGCGCTGGGGGCCGAGGGGTCACTGACTCCGAACTTGTTGACAGCGCAGACTCTGAAGCAGTACTTCCTGCCCTTGACCAGGCCGAACACGGGGAAGCGAGGAGAGCTGACCACCTCCTCTGCACTGGCCCTTTCCCAGCTGTTGGTACCGGCCAGAGCCTGAGACACACAGGACCAGTATCAGGTTTGATATGGACTAAAGCTACACAAGATTATTCATTTAATACATATCTTTACAAAAAACATACGTACAAGTTAGTATTGTTTATTTATATAGCGCCTTTCTCAGACCAGAGTCACAGCGGTTTACAATTGTGGTCCCCAACAATACTTCTTAACTAGTTGGAAAGGCTGTATATACCTTCAATACCAGTCTTTAAAAAAATATATATATACAGTATATGCAGAGTTATGCAGAGAAGAACTGCTGAGTCTGCAAATGTCATCCATCTGTGTGCTCTCACTACTGTCCTGTCTGTGTGCTCTCACTACTGTCTGTGTGCTCTCACTACTGTCTGTGTGCTCTCACTACTGTCCTGTCTGTGTGCTCTCACTACTGTCCTGTCTGTGTGCTCTCACTACTGTCTGTGTGCTCTCACTACTGTCCTGTCTGTGTGCTCTCACTACTGTCCTGTCTGTGTGCTCTCACTACTGTCTGTGTGCTCTCACTACTGTCCTGTCTGTGTGCTCTCACTACTGTCCTGTCTGTGCGCTCTCACTACTGTCCTGTCTGTGTGCTCTCACTACTGTCCTGTCTGTGTGCTCTCACTACTGTCCTGTCTGTGTGCTCTCACTACTGTCCTGTCTGTGTGCTCTCACTACTGTCCTGTCTGTGTGCTCTCACTACTGTCCTGTCTGTGTGCTCTCACTACTGTCCTGTCTGTGTGCTCTCACTACTGTCCTGTCTGTGTGCTCTCACTACTGTCCTGTCTGTGTGCTCTCACTACTGTCCTGTCTGTGCGCTCTCACTTGTCCTGTCTGTGTGCTCTCACTACTGTCCTGTCTGTGTGCTCTCACTACTGTCCTGTCTGTGTGCTCTCACTACTGTCCTGTCTGTGTGCTCTCACTACTGTCCTGTCTGTGTGCTCTCACTACTGTCCTGTCTGTGTGCTCTCACTACTGTCCTGTCTGTGTGCTCTCACTACTGTCCTGTCTGTGTGCTCTCACTACTGTCTGTCGTGTGCTCTCACTACTGTCCTGTCTGTGTGCTCTCACTACTGTCCTGTCTGTGTGCTCTCACTACTGTCCTGTCTGTGTGCTCTCACTACTGTCCTGTCTGTGTGCTCTCACTACTGTCCTGTCTGTGTGCTCTCACTACTGTCCTGTCTGTGTGCTCTCACTACTGTCCTGTCTGTGTGCTCTCACTACTGTCCTGTCTGTGTGCTCTCACTACTGTCCTGTGTGTGCTCTCACTACTGTCCTGTCTGTGTGCTCTCACTACTGTCCTGTCTGTGTGCTCTCACTACTGTCCTGTCTGTGTGCTCTCACTACTGTCTGTGTGCTCTCACTACTGTCCTGTCTGTGTGCTCTCACTACTGTCCTGTCTGTATGCTCTCACTACTGTCCTGTCTGTGTGCTCTCACTACTGTCCTGTCTGTGTGCTCTCACTACTGTCCTGTCTGTGTGCTCTCACTACTGTCTGTCTGTGTGCTCTCACTACTGTCTGTGTGCTCTCACTACTGTCTGTGTGCTCTCACTACTGTCCTGTCTGTGTGCTCTCACTACTGTCCTGTCTGTGTGCTCTCACTACTGTCCTGTCTGTGTGCTCTCACTACTGTCCTGTCTGTGTGCTCTCACTACTGTCTGTGTGCTCTCACTACTGTCCTGTCTGTGTGCTCTCACTACTGTCTGTGTGCTCTCACTACTGTCCTGTCTGTGTGCTCTCACTACTGTCTGTGTGCTCTCACTACTGTCCTGTCTGTGTGCTCTCACTACTGTCTGTGTGCTCTCACTACTGTCTGTGTGCTCTCACTACTGTCCCGTCTGTGTGCTCTCACTACTGTCTGTGCGCTCTCACTACTGTCTGTGTGCTCTCACTACTGTCCTGTCTGTGTGCTCTCACTACTGTCCTGTCTGTGTGCTCTCACTACTGTCCTGTCTGTGTGCTCTCACTACTGTCCTGTCTGTGTGCTCTCACTACTGTCCTGTCTGTGTGCTCTCACTACTGTCCTGTCTGTGTGCTCTCAGTACTGTCCTGTCTGTGTGCTCTCACTACTGTCATGTCTGTGTGCTCTCACTACTGTCTGTGTGCTCTCACTACTGTCCTGTCTGTGTGCTCTCACTACTGTCCTGTCTGTGTGCTCTCACTACTGTCCTGTCTGTGTGCTCTCACTACTGTCCTGTCTGTGTGCTCTCACTACTGTCCTGTCTGTGTGCTCTCACTACTGTGCTGTCTGTGTGCTCTCACTACTGTCCTGTCTGTGTGCTCTCACTACTGTCCTGTCTGTGTGCTCTCACTACTGTCCTGTCTGTGTGCTCTCACTACTGTCCTGTCTGTGTGCTCTCACTACTGTCCTGTCTGTGTGCTCTCACTACTGTCCTGTCTGTGTGCTCTCACTACTGTCCTGTCTGTGTGCTCTCACTACTGTCCTGTCTGTGTGCTCTCACTACTGTCCTGTCTGTGTGCTCTCACTACTGTCCTGTCTGTGTGCTCTCACTACTGTCTGTGTGCTCTCACTACTGTCTGTGTGCTCTCACTACTGTCTGTGTGCTCTCACTACTGTCCTGTCTGTGTGCTCTCACTACTGTCCTGTCTGTGTGCTCTCACTACTGTCCTGTCTGTGTGCTCTCACTACTGTCCTGTCTGTGTGCTCTCACTACTGTCCTGTCTGTGTGCTCTCACTACTGTCCTGTCTGTGTGCTCGCACTACTGTCCTGTCTGTGTGCTCTCACTACTGTCCTGTCTGTGTGCTCTCACTACTGTCCTGTCTGTGTGCTCTCACTACTGTCCTGTCTGTGTGCTCTCACTACTGTCCTGTGTGCTCTCACTACTGTCCTGTCTGTGTGCTCTCACTACTGTCCTGTCTGTGTGCTCTCACTACTGTCCTGTGTGTGCTCTCACTACTGTCCTGTCTGTGTGCTCTCACTACTGTCCTGTCTGTGTGCTCTCACTACTGTCCTGTCTGTGTGCTCTCACTACTGTCTGTGTGCTCTCACTACTGTCCTGTCTGTGTGCTCTCACTACTGTCCTGTGTGTGCTCTCACTACTGTCCTGTCTGTGTGCTCTCACTACTGTCCTGTCTGTGTGCTCTCACTACTGTCCTGTCTGTGTGCTCTCACTACTGTCTGTGTGCTCTCACTACTGTCCTGTCTGTGTGCTCTCACTACTGTCCTGTCTGTATGCTCTCACTACTGTCCTGTCTGTGTGCTCTCACTACTGTCCTGTCTGTGTGCTCTCACTACTGTCCTGTCTGTGTGCTCTCACTACTGTCTGTGTGCTCTCACTACTGTCTGTGTGCTCTCACTACTGTCTGTGTGCTCTCACTACTGTCCTGTCTGTGCTCTCACTACTGTCCTGTCTGTGTGCTCTCACTACTGTCTGTGTGCTCTCACTACTGTCCTGTCTGTGTGCTCTCACTACTGTCTGTGTGCTCTCACTACTGTCCTGTCTGTGTGCTCTCACTAACTGTCTGTGTGCTCTCACTACTGTCCTGTCTGTGTGCTCTCACTACTGTCCTGTCTGTGTGCTCTCACTACTGTCTGTGTGCTCTCACTACTGTCCTGTCTGTGTGCTCTCACTACTGTCTGTGTGCTCTCACTACTGTCTGTGTGCTCTCACTACTGTCCTGTCTGTGTGCTCTCACTACTGTCCTGTCTGTGTGCTCTCACTACTGTCCTGTCTGTGTGCTCTCATACTGTCCTGTCTGTGTGCTCTCACTACTGTCCTGTCTGTGTGCTCTCACTACTGTCCTGTCTGTGTGCTCTCACTACTGTCCTGTCTGTGTGCTCTCACTACTGTCCTGTCTGTGTGCTCTCACTACTGTGTGTCCTGTCTGTCTACTGTCTGTGCTCTCACTACTGTCCTGTCTGTGTGTACTGTCTGTCTGTGTGCTCTCACTACTGTCCTGTCTGTCTGTGTGCTCTCACTACTGTCCTGTCTGTGTGCTACTACTGTCCTGTCTGTGTGCTCTCACTACTGTCTGTCTGTGTGCTCTCACTACTGTCCGGTCTGTGTGCTCTCACTACTGTCTGCTGTCCTGTCTGTGTGCTCTCACTACTGTCCTGTGTTGCTCTCACTACTGTCCTGTCTGTGTGCTCTCACTACTGTCCTGTCTGTGTGCTCTCACTACTGTCCTGTCTGTGTGCTCTCACTACTGTCCCTGTCTGTGTGCTCTCACTACTGTCCTGTCTGTGTGCTCTCACTACTGTCCTGTCTGTGTGCTCTCACTACTGTCTGTCGGTGCTCTCACTACTGTCCTGTGTCTCCCTGCTGTGTGCTCTCACTACTGTCTGTCTGTGTGCTCTCACTACTGTCCTGTCTGTGTGCTCTCACTACTGTCCTGTCTGTGTGCTCTCACTACTGTCCTGTCTGTGTGCTCTCACTACTGTCCTGTCTGTGTGCTCTCACTACTGTCCTGTCTGTGTGCTCTCACTACTGTCCTGTCTGTGTGCTCTCACTACTGTCCTGTCTGTGTGCTCTCACTACTGTCCTGTCTGTGTGCTCTCACTACTGTCCTGTGTGCTCTCACTACTGTCCTGTCTGTGTGCTCTCACTACTGTCCTGTCTGTGTGCTCTCACTACTGTCCTGTCTGTGTGCTCTCACTACTGTCCTGTCTGTGTGCTCTCACTACTGTCCTGTCTGTGTGCTCTCACTACTGTCCTGTCTGTGTGCTCTCACTACTGTCCTGTCTGTGTGCTCTCACTACTGTCCTGTCTGTGTGCTCTCACTACTGTCCTGTCTGTGTGCTCTCACTACTGTCCTGTCTGTGTGCTCTCACTACTGTCCTGTCTGTGTGCTCTCACTACTGTCCTGTCTGTGTGCTCTCACTACTGTCCTGTCTGTGTGCTCTCACTACTGTCCTGTCTGTGTGCTCTCACTACTGTCCTGTCTGTGTGCTCTCACTACTGTCCTGTCTGTGTGCTCTCACTACTGTCCTGTCTGTGTGCTCTCACTACTGTCCTGTCTGTGTGCTCTCACTACTGTCCTGTCTGTGTGCTCTCACTACTGTCCTGTCTGTGTGCTCTCACTACTGTCCTGTCTGTGTGCTCTCACTACTGTCCTGTCTGTGTGCTCTCACTACTGTCCTGTACATCAAGTTTATATTTTTAGTCTTGATTTCATTTTGTATTTTATTTTCTTTTTTTCTTTTTGCAGCTGAACATTGTGGGTTATTTTGTGTTTGAATTGTGAGAATACAGTGCCTATAGATCCCGTATCCCCAACCATCACCCGCTGTTTGCCATAGAATATTACTGTGAATTATGGATGATGTTGAATATGCGACGCTGAAGGGATTCTTTCAAACGTCTCCGTCTCATTTTCCTTTGACACATCTGACAGTTTTATTACCAGAGCAACACATGAAAGTCCAATAAAAACCTACTTCCTTTGGCAGTTTCTGAATTATGAAGATGGCCGCTTGTTTCTGAAATGGAGGCGGAATTT